ACGACCTCCACCAGGAATGTGGGCCCGCGCGGCCGCTTCCGCCGTCGTGAGCCTCGTGCCACACGGCCGTCACCTACGTGGGCTAATTAAGTGATCGGTCGCTTGTCGAGAGGTGACCGAGGACCAAAAAAGCGAATGCTCGAAGGATAAGCCGGGGATTTTCGGTTACGGCAGTCAAGGGAGATTCGGTTCGGATGACAGGCTCGTCATGGCTTTTGTTGGCACCCCTTTAGGCCGTCTAATTCGAGGAATCGCGCTCACCTTACGGCTCGTAGCGATATGGATGTTGTTTTGTCGCTGTTTGTGTTCAGATCGCTGGTATTTACGGGCTGATCGATAACCTCGGCACTCTCCTCTCGATCGACCACGATCGACAGTTTCAGCACTGAGCAACAAAATCAGCATACTCAAGCATTATTCAACCAACAATAATGTCTAATAACTAATTAGTGAGAATGTTGGAGCGCCTCGTAATTTCATAGGGGGATTTCGTGCGATATTGTTATTTCGTTGTTTTGGTGTATTCGTGGTGGCAATGGCACCGCGTGAGCCCCGGAATTTTCAAATGAATTTTAAATACGCGTGCGCACGATTTCTCGAACACTAAGCAATGTACGTTATATGACGTATATAACGTGTAATCTGTCATGCCGATATGCCTCTAACGCCGACTAATTCTAGCTCCACAATTTGAAAATCGTAGATATATTATTATTTTTAATTTAATAACCTTATAATTATTCTACAACGTTCGCTCTCTCTCTCTCTCTCTCTCTCTCTCTCTCTCTCTCTCCATTATGGGTTAATCATTTTTTTCTTCTTTTCTTCTAAGTAGCCTGAGGGTATCGAATGCATACTTTAGAGTGTAACAGAGTGTTTCGGTTCTTTTAAATGGCAGGCGAGAGGCACAACACCAAGAAATGAAAATAAACTTCAAATAAGCCGTTTTATATCAACTTACGGATTAAGCAGTAAAACAGCTGTTTATCTATAGTTATGATAATATAAAGCAAAAGAGTGAAGAATCGGACATTGTTTTTTTTACGCATGATGTGTAAAAATTAATATTGGATTATCGCTTTGCCTAAATATTGCCTTGAATAAAAAAAAAAAGGTTTGTTTGCAAATTCGCTTTATTATCGTTCGTATTTACCTCTGTCTTAATACTTAAATGTTATACATGCTCGAACGCCATGAAAAATAAATAATATTAATCAAATAAAAAATTACTCTATAGACTCTAATGACACACACTCGCGCGCGCGCTCACACATCTTCATTACGTTCATACAGAGAGATTTTTATCAAGTCATTTTTATGCTCAACAATATAAAATAATAATTAATATCTCGGATATAACCGATCTAAATAGCTTTATATTATAATTGCTCGAGAGTCTCGAATAATAAAGCTTCGTTGCCGCAATTGAATATTTGAATAGGCTTTTGGGAAAAATAATTGGCTAGTCTGCTGTACACTTACTTAAGTACAGCTTGAAGAAAACGATCGCATTTATATGGAATCACGCGTTCGCTACTACTCATTCCTCACCCTTCCAATGCATAATTTATCTACTTTATATTTCCTAGGGCCACATTCAACGAATATGCAAATTCGTAGCAAAATACGAAATGCCCGATTGCATCACAATTAATAATCACGCAAAAAGCAACAGTTTCCGCGGACCAACCTATACTACAAATTCAATGATATTATTTGGAAATTATTCCACACGGGGAAAATAAACATACAGCCTCGCGAAAATATCCCTGGCAGCTCGAGTCGGCTGACGCGCGTTACCCAATCCCATCCACCTCGACTCCTTGAAGTGGAGATACTCCACCGAGTATCTCCCATTAGGTCGATATGTTGATATGTTCGACAAATTGCACCTCTTTATCGTAATTTTTGCGTGCGCGATAGCCAGGGATCGAGCCGTAATTGGCTCTCGCGGGTGGGAAAGAGGCCGATTGTCTCGCGGTGCGGCGCTTGTCTTTAACGGCGATCTGAGAAATCGGACGCGAGCCTCAGTGGCCAATAATAATTTCATTCCCGGTCGGCTGACTTTTGCCTTTACAGTGCCGCGTGCGAATCGCGCGACGCCTCCCCTCGTTTGGCTGCAGCAATCGTTTATCAAGATATTATCGTCGTTTCGGTATGGCGCCGAGCGAGCACGCACGCGCAAGCCCCTATGTTGTCATGCTCGTTACGTATAATAATCCCTTGGGTAATTACGCTAATTATAAGGTCGAGAGTGGTCGCTTAGGCTTCAATTTAAACGGTTGAATTTTCACTCCACATTCACCACGGGGATAATCGAATATCGATGGATTTTCGATATCGCGTACTTCTCGCATAGTACGGCTTGTTCCAATTCATCATTGAATAACGCTTATGGTGTTTTGATATTAGGCATTGGAGAGAGCATTGGACGCAAGACATTGGATAGCGCGTCTCCAGGGTGTGAACGTATCTCGTATCTCGGAAAGATAAACATTGTTTATCAAAGTAGCGCGGTTTGGAAATGTCGTAACGCGATAAAAAGTAGATGTGATGTGTTCCCTTGGTGAAGTGAAGGAACGTGAAAGGCACTTGGCTAAGGTAAAAGTAGAATCTTGAAAGTCAATGTACACAGCGGAATGAGCGACGCATCCGGAGAACTGACGGGATCTCTGCCTCTCTCTCTCTAAATATATATATATATATATATATATATATCTGTTTCTCTCGACTTGCTTGCATGGTTGCGCAAGCTCTAGAATCGAACGTGGCTCGGTCGAGACCTCCGGGCAAGTAATTCCGAGTGGTTGTGAAGAATTTGTGGTCGGCGAAGAGCCAAAGAGGCCTCGGGACCACCAAAGTCTGCGATTGCAGGTCGGTGAATTCGCTCACCCTTACGGAAACAAACGAGCCGGATCATAGAAATACTTCCTCCTCCTGACCCATCCTTCCCCCCCCCCCACCGACTCCCACTCTGCACCACCGTAGCTCAAAACCAAAACCAACTCATCCACCAGCGTCACTCTTGTCTCGTTTGCGGTCGCGGTTTTCCAATTTTTATTCGTGCGAGCGCGGGTAGAGGCCGCTTATAGATCCGATGACTCTGTGGTACTCCGTAACCGGGGCTCGAGGCCGATTGTGGATTATTTTCGAACGAAAGCGAGGCTGTTGCTCGTTATCCTTAAATTAACCGCCACGCCCCAGAATCATTGGCGAAAGGGAGCGCGGAGAGTGCATTTTCCACTGCCTATTGCACTTTGGCACCGGATGGCAGCGCATTGCCGGTGAACACATCATCCTCAGTATATTCGCACCGAGGGAGAGCGAAAATTTTAATTTACTCGGTCATCCGCGATAAGCATCGTAAGTTTAAGTCATTAATGGGTACTCGGCACCGCGCGCGAATGAAAGTACCTGTGCTTCGTATTTACGATCCGGGACTCGTGCGCGCGTACGTGAACGCTCGCAATTCAGATTCCCGCGCAATCATCGAACAATACTTGCGTACTTAACCTCGCGTCGTCTAATCATAAATCATCGGTGGCGTGCGTTTGCACGTATAGCTTGCATCGCGCGCGTTACAGCTATTAAATGAAAATCCCGTGCACGTCCCGTCCCGTCTCGATCTTGAAAAATGAGAAAAGCATCGGATTATGTAAGCGTCACCCCGACACAGCTCGGGCGAGGAGTGCCCGATGAAAGTCCATCCTGCATTTCACGCGATTTTGGCTTTCACTCTGGGTGGCTATGGAGAGCCGTGGGCACGCCTTTTGAGAGTCCGAAGGCTCCTCAAGCATTTGGAAATGAAATTTTGGAGTGGAGTCAAGCTTGGCTATTCTCACTGAAGTACCGCAACAATTGCGCAACAGATTTATTCGAAAAAATTTTTTTAAAAGCGTTATTTTAAAAATCGAATAGTTGATTGTTGCTCGTCGATATGATAGCGATAGGTTATTCAAAATCTTCGTAAGGCCTTCCCTATTGCGACGCAGGGGGTGAAATTTCACGTAATTAAGGATATCAGAATGTTGGAGCCAACGAGGGTTAATAACGTAATGGCCGCGTAATGAATAAACGGCGTATGTCATGTGATTCTTGAAATTTCTCCTATCACACAATTCCGTATTGGCCAGCATTTTTTCTCCTCGTTTCTCCTTTTATCGAAACTGAAGGTATAAAGGTTGTAAGAATTAAAAGCACTTTCGTTTACCCCTAATAAATATACGAAGTAATAGAATGGTGATAGAGATGCGAGATATATATGTATACGATCGAGGAAAATGAATGCTACCTGCTTTCAACACTCCTTACCAATCGCCCAATCTTTGACAATAAACAAGTTTTATGGTAAGTCTTATTGCCGATCGAGAAGCTCCCAATCTAATAAATAACCGTTAAATTCCATCTAATTTTATGCAAATAACCGTAATATGATGAAATCGTTTATCGCGTGCGTGGTAAAATGCGGCAAACAAGTGTCGCTTATCGTTTACGTGAATTGTCAGTGGGTGGCCGACCGTTGCTCTTTTCATTCAACGTCATTCGAATTACTGCGTATGGCTTAAATGCTAAGCAGACGACACGCGTCACGAGGCTAAGGCTTCGCTAATTCAGAACTGAAATTTCGGCGTTCGTGACATCCGCCGGCCGAGCTTTGGAAAAGCCGCGTGGAACGGACGACGGCGGCGCAGAGAAAGGGGAAGCCGAACAATAGTGAAACGAGTCTTGTCGGTTGTTTTCATTTTACAACGCTAAAATACGCTTCCTCGATAATGAATCAACAGAATTTAAATTACGGAGCATTTAACGTGGCCTGAAGTTTAGTTAAATGCGGCGCATACAACTCGACGACGCGCACATACGGGAAAATGGAAAGGCAGAGCGCGCACATTACTTTGGACATGACGTACGGTCTTTAAGCGTAGTTATTGCAGTTGTCACGAGGGGGCTAAGACGTTCCCGCTATTAAGTGGGCAGCTGAAGATTGATATAATTGACTCGCGCGTGCCATCGTAACGTAATTCTTCAAACAAAATAACCTTTCATTTTCAGTGTTTTATTACACAGTCGTTGCGAGTATGGACACGGAGGTGACTATTTATTTATTTTTCTCTTCGTGCTTTATTTTTTACGGACTTTACAATTTGTCACCGATGGTCGTCGTCGGTGGTTTAGGTCGCGAGTGTACCGAATATAGCGAACAGCAGGGATACGGCGGAGGAGATGGTTTGGATGAAGCCGCGATCGCTTACTCAAGAGGAGATTTTGCGACTGGCGAGAGCTCAGGCATACGCGGTTCGTGTTACCGTGGATAATAAAAAAATGGACGAGGAGGAAGAGGATGATAAGCAAGACATAACTTCATCGGTTCCTAACGGCACTGGCGACGATAAGGTGCGTGAGAGAGGCCAGGCGGGCAGTCCGGTTGACGCCGCCGCCGCCGCCGCCACCGCCGGCCTCTATGTTGTGATAAGATAATATGAAAAAATTATGGTAAAACGCGCGCGATGTTTTGTAGCCGAGGACGTCTCCTTATTATTTGTCTTTTACTTTTTGTGTAGAAGGTTATCGAAGCGGAGGAAATGTATCATAATGACGGGGAGGAAGAAGAAGAAGAAGAAGAAGAAGAAGAAGAAGAGGATGAGGAAGAGGAAGAGGAAGTGGAGGAGGACGATACCGAGGAACCTTCTTGATATTTCAATTTTTTAATTTGGGCGAATTTTTTCTACAAATCTGAAACGTCTTTAATGATAAATAATAAAATTATATATTAGTTTAAGAATTCCAATGTTTATTCATTATGATAAATGTCGTGTAGTAGTACGTGCAGTACGTGTATGCGTGAGAGCGCGTGTGTTCATGCAACCAAGTGCACAAGTACGTATAAGAAGTGTGTTTGATAGAAAATTATATTTACTCTACTATTGTTACAACTGCTGTGTTACTATTACTACCATCACTAGTATTCTTACTTATTACCGATTACGTTAATAGAGAGAGGAAAAACTTTTTTTACTATTCGACTGTCGTTTTAATTTTAATTTGCTTGCTCCAAATAAAAGCTAGAGAAGATAAATTTACAGGATTTTAATGACTTGGGACATCACATATAGTTTTCGTCATTCAGATTTTTTAATTATAATTGTTGTATACTTTGATTGCTCTCTATCTATCTATATCTCTATCTATCTCTATCTCTCTCTCTCTCTCTCTCTCTCGCTCCTTCCCTCCCCTTCACTCCCCGGTCCCTCTCGCGAGACACAAGTCGTTGGGAACCGTCTAAAAACGTCGATAGGTGAACAATTCAGCGAGAAACAAAAAGTAAGCGTCGAGCCACGCGCGATCTCGCGGAAATATTTTAGTTTTGTTAAATAAAAATCTCGATGGCTTAAGCTGTTCCCGTCACTACTTTCTTTTAATCGATGTAATCGCGAAAAATGTACTCTGCAAATGCCTGGCATATAAAATTCTCGATTGTTACCTCAAGTGTATCGTCATTTACGCGCAACGCCCGCTTTCCCAATAAATAAAGCAAAACTATAATTGACTGCGATACATTGAAATACAAATAAAGAGAGTTAGTTACTCGGAAGGTTACAACGACGACGTCAAGAACGTTGATTTATAGGTTATACGTTTACGATGGCTGCAAGATTATTGCGCAAACCGTCAAAACAAATATTCTCACAAATCGTATTATATTTATATTGGTAATGTCGACTTTGGAAATTCGCGCACGTGACACGAAGAGTCATGTCGCGAGTCCGCAAAAGTCCGAAGACAAACAAAGGGGGCGGCACGCTCGGTGCTTCTTTGGAGGAAAAGGGATGCGTCCGCGTAAGCGTATCTGAGCAGAGGAGGGAAGCCGAGAGAGGCCGGAGCTAATTAAAAAGAGGAAGAACGCAGGAGGCGATTACCGTTACGGGTATCGCGCATGTCGCGCGTATGTCGCACCGACCCGGGTGAAGGTGGCGGAGGACGCTGCGGTAGCGATGGACGAGCAGGGAGAGGGGAGAGATGGGCGGTAACGCCGTGCCTCGACTGGTGGGGATAATTAGAATTATTACACGGCGATCCGACCCCCAGCGTACTTGGCGATATACGGGCACAAAAGCAGGAAGTCGTGTGCGCCGGGGCGTCGTCGTGCAGATAAGGCGCGATACTCTTCCGCCAATGTAAAAAGCAGTGTCGAGAGGGAAGGACCCGGGCGACAATAACGAGCACACGCCCTGATAAATCACGCTTTTCCCATGGGTGGATGAGAGCCGCTATCCGCGGCCCCATCGTCGCTCCTTCTTCGGGCTTTTCCTCGCGGGGCCTCGTTAGATATTCCAACGCGGGTGTCGCCTCAGTCCCCCCTCCCCCCTCCCCCCTCCCCTCTCCCCTCTTCGGCTCGGCGGCCCTCTCGCGACTCGATTATTTATTGCGAGCGCTTATGCTCGATCGCTATCGGCTGGCCGTTAGACACGTCGCACGTGGAGGAACCTCGTCGCGACGGATTTCCTGAATCACGTAGGTGAAAATATTGTCCGCGTAGCGAGCTTTTCTCCTATTAAGCGTTCTCGGGCTCTTTGTGAGCGGCGCTCGGAGTCGACGAGAGGGCTAGGCAATATTGAAATGAGACAAAGAGCGCGAGGCTCTAAGCGGCCAAGACGATAATGTTGCAATTACAAAATTCGCGTGTGTCGGGTATTTTGTAAACATTGCCGATTCCCCTCCCCCACTTTGGATCTACTTCGGCGATCGTCTTCGTCTACGTGCGCGCACCGTAGTTTTTTTAACACATCGCAGCCTGTAAAAGTGCATAATGAGGCACGAACGGTGAGAATGGAAATTGAGAGGCGGGGGTGTAAAGTCGCTCGGAAACGTTTGGCTTGGCAAACGACCTCGTGACGCACCAAAGTCACCAGAATGGAAAATTTCTTGGATTAATGGTCGTATTGGTGGTATTGTGGTGCGTCAGTGTCGCGTATGCGCTTATCCTCGTACATTTTATTTACAAACGTAGCCAGCCAGTGCTTCGTTTGGCGTAGGCAAACTTTTTGGGACGAACAATGGGCGGCGGCGTGACAGTGGCGGAGAGGGGCGGTGGGCGGCAGGGGCAGGGGCCGGAGGGGCAGGGGCCGGGGGTGGGGTATTGGCAGGGGGGGGGGGATGGGGAGGGGGGAGGGGGGGTCACAAGGCAGGAGGCTGCGCCGCGAAATTAATAAGGACCGTGTCTTCCTTTCGAAGTGGTTATTTATGCGCAGAGGGGACGAGCGCGAATTATACAATTGCCAATAACAGCCGCGCGCACGTTTCATTTTATTCGACTGGCAGCAGCGAAACAAACTTATTAGCTCTTATGATCCTCACTTTCGGCTAATAACCGGTTTCCGCGCTTAGATTAGTACTCCTAGTGCGCATTTTCAATGATCGCTCGGTGGGAGTGGTTTATTGCTCCTTTTCTCGAAATCCTTTGTCGTGTGTAATGGCACACGCTCGTACCGTGGCTTTTCTTTCTTTACGAATGACTCCGGGACTTTCTAGCATTAATTTAAAATACATTCATTCTCTTTGAATTGCAACAAATTAAACTCGTGCGTTTTTTCGTTTATTATCTCTGGAGAATCGCGAGTAAATTGCCCCTTTGTAAAAAATGTTTTAATACACGTAAACATTGATAAATATTAAATATACTTTTAACGATTTTTTAATTTTAATTTATTATGATTATTATTATTATTATTATTATTATTATTTAAAAAAAAAAAATTTTTTTTTTGTTTTTTTTTTGTTGGAATAATTATTTGTTCGTTTGTTTTTATTTTGGTTGTTGTTGTTGCCTTGTATAAGAAATACTCTAATGATAATGCTTTCTGTAGACTCTATTTTACATTGGTTACAAAAATTGTCTGGAGCTACGGACGTTGATCAATGAGCAATTACCACTTATTTTCAAATTTACGCCTCTTTATTAATTAAAACGGATTATTCGGAGCGACTATATTATTGTATAAATGTATTTCCATCATCATCATCATCAACATCGTCATCAACATCGTCATCGTATACTTCTTCATCTCCTTCTTATTCTCTTTTGTTTTTTATTACAGTCTTCTTTTTTTGACTTGATTGCGCGCAGTGACCGCAATATAAATGAAGGAATACCCCCGGAAAAATGCCTGGAATTGCTAATGCAATGCCACATAAAAATATAATTTTAATAAATACGGGGACGGCTTTACAATTATTTCTTATGAGTATTCTCAATTTTGGTTGAAATGTAGAGGGAATTTAACGAACATAATATAAAAGCTTAATACGTGGATGTATTAAAGTTTTGCCTCGAGCGAATGATAATCGACAAACACGATCGAGATTAAAAGGTAAGATTAATAATCGAATAATATCATTAAAATGTTTATTTAATTCTCCATTGGAAGTTGGTTATTTAATTGGTGGCGGGGGGGGGGGGGGGGTGCGGAAGAATGCGTCGTTCCATTAGAAAGGTCTGCACACGTTGAAACGCATAGGTGCAACATGCAAGGTGTAAGGTTCTTTGTCCGTCAAAATTTTGTCCGTTAATTTATCAGACAAGTACATGTAAATTTCATCCACGAGGAGCGTTTATTTTTTATTAGTCAGGCGAGAGCCAATGCAACGGACAAGCGTCTATCATTTGTTTTTAAGCGATAAAGCCAGTCGAGATCACTACCCGAAAAAGCCCGCGTAATTATAACGTGCCCAATGGAATCGCGCTTCACGCTTTTACGGCGGAAGATTTATGGATTGGGCCTGCCACGACGAGCTTTTATCCCCTTGAGGCCCAAAAACGCCGTATCGACTAAGCAGGATTTTCATTTTACAAGAATCGATCGACACCCGCGCGACTAAGCGAGTGACTCGAACTTTGAACCTTGATAGGAAAGCGAGCGCTAACTGTATATTCTCTTGTCTCCCCCCCCCCCCATACCCCCCGCCCGACCAAACGGTTGCCCAACCGCGGTTCATTGCTTGATGACGCGCCGCTTCCCGAGCACAATTCATGGCACGATATTTCGCATCCCTTTGGTACATTAAAGGCAGCGCGTAGTTTCGCGTGCGAGGATACCGCGCGATTAATTTCCACCGATCGACGGATTCTTTTGGCCCTCATCGCTCGCTCCTCGTTCATTGAATTTGCGGATCTTAATTGAGCGACGGACGAAACTGTTGCGCGATCTCTTACCTGCCCTTGAGCCTTTATGTTTTTAACCGTACCCTACCGATACTCGTGTAAATGTGAGAGCTCGCGCGATCCACACGGCCATGTAATTATTGGATTAAATCGAGGCTTTTAATTAGGGAGAGACAGTGTGATTAAGTTTAACGTTATGACTCTTGGCTTATGATCAATGCAAAGAAAAGAAGACAAAAAAATAAGGAAAGAAAAAAATCGATAATCAATGTGGCTTGATAAGCGCTGGAGGTGTATCATAATTTTA